ATTTCACTCCCCATTGAAAACCATGGTGAATTTGTAATAAATTCTGTACTTAAACACTTTGTCATTCCAAAGAAAATTGAATAAATTCGTAAATTTTCTAACCTGCTATGCTGCGCTTCAGTAGGGTCTTGTAGACCGCCTAGTTATATTATAGTCTTTTCCCGCAATTTCGACCGGTATGTATGTATGTATGTCTGTCTGAATGTATGTATGTATGTAAAAGTAAGAGCATACTAAATCAACCTTTATTTTTGTAACTTCGACATTATTTTGCCATTCGTTAAGTACTAATCATTCAATTTCTTAAAACAATTAGAGAGTAATTTGAAAGTATAGGAGTAGAAAAACTTTTAAAAATCCGTTAAATCCTTTTTAGTATCACTCAATACTGGTGTGTTGATCTGTCTGTCATTCCTTTCTGTATCATAGTTCGGTGTAGTACTGTATCCTACAGTTGAATAATTTCCAATAGAGCCTGGAGTTGAATAATTTTCAGAAGATCCTGGAGTTGAATAATTTCCAGAAGATCCTGGAGTTGAATAATTTCCAGAAGGTCCTGCAGTTGCATGCATAGCATTACTTTTGTAGTAATTATTTCCTTTTTCATTGATTTCTCGGAGTTCCATTTGTGAAACAATATTAAAAATTTCAGGTTTGATCACTGCTTTGTTGGATTCATTAAATTTCTTCACCGTTGCAGCTATACCATAAAAAAAATTGTCAGTATCATCTTCCTCATTTTTTTCCTTTAGTATATATTTCATTAACAATGACGACGCAGTAGATCTATCTTCCACTTCCACCCTTGACCTTTTTATATTTGGAAACTTGGATGTCCTAGTAGACGAGCCAGATGTTGGACGATCTTCTATTATTAAAATATCTGATTGGCAATACGGAGCAGACAATTGAGAATCTTCATTAGTAGTACTTTCCTGATCACTATCTATGAGTAGTGAAGATACAGTTGCTCTTTCTTTATAATATGTAGGGTATCAAAAAACTCATTTCATCCTCGTATTGCCATTTTTTACCAATGCCTGCAGCTTGACCACTTTTGGTAGTGATCAAACTGCAGATGAGCTTCCCTTAAATTGGTCCACGTTTTCTTGCACATTGATACTGAAAAAATGAAATAGTAATTATACAGACTGATACTTAAAAAAAGTTGTTTGTTGAATCTTAAAAAACTTTTTTATTTCAGATATTTGACAAGCGGCGTTTCAGTCATAAATTTATCTACAAGCTTTCGATTAGGTGAAACGACTATTAGGTCAATAATTAAGGAGGTGTGCAAAGCTAACTTGACAAAATGATGGGTGTTTTTATGCCAACACCTACAGCTGAAGATTGGGAAAAATTGCGGAAGGGTTTAATGACAGGTGGAATTTCCCAAACTGCATTGGTGCCATAGATGGCAAGCATATAAATATAATAGCTCCACCCAACAGTGGATCGCTCTACTACAACTATAAAAACATTTTTCGATAGTTCTCTTGGCCATAGTTGATGATAAATACAGATTTACAGTTGTTGACATCGGTGCTTATGGCAAAAACAGCGATAGTGGTATTTTTGCATCTTCGAAAATTGGAAAACGAATTCAAAATACTAGGTTCAATATTCCAAATGACAAAGCATTACCCGGGACAAACGTATCACTTCCACTTGTTTTTGTGGGAGATGAGGCTTTTCCATTACCAAAGAGCTTAATGAGGCCATATTCTCGTTCTCAACACCCGTCTCAGGACCAAAAAGAAATTAACAATCGCGTCACGCGTACGCAAAGTAGTCGAAGTTGCATTCGGAATATTATACCAAAAATTTGAAATATTCAATAAAAATATTCGTTTATGTCCAGAAATTGTTGATAATTGAAAATGAAATTGTTGTTGATTGCATAATGTAATGCGAACTTATAATATCGAATACAACGAACAGTATTGCCCCAGTCGCAGGTCAGTGCATCAAAACTTACATCAGGAGGCATTCAGTGATCTACGTCACATTGGTGGAAATAGTACTGCTTTTGACGTACGTGATTCGTTTGCTGCTTATTTAAAATCTACGGTTGGACAGCTTCCATGGAATACTTAATTTACTTATAGTTTACTTATAATAAAAAGTTAATAACCGAGGACGTTTTGATGCGTGGTCGTTTTAAGTCTTTTTGTGTTTTTTTTTGTTTTTATTGTGTTTCTATTACTAGCTGGCAATGTATATCAAATTAACATTAGACCAAATGACTATTATGCGAAACAAGGGAAAACGGAATTATGTACCAATCTATTGTACTATCTTTTTTTAAATATTTGTAATAAATAAATATTACCTGGTACCGCTACGGTGTTGCTTATTTCCGTCCACGTTTCTTCCTTTTTTACAGTGTAGTGACACTGTAAAAAAGGTACTTTGAGTCACTTAGATCATACAATAAATTATATTTACGAACTTCTTCGATAAGTTTTTCTTTGTTCATTTTGAAAGCAAAAACGATAGGTCCGACTCGTTCGAAAGAGAGGCTGGAAATGATGGGAGGGTGGGGAGCGGCGCATAGCCAACGTATCGTCCTCGCCTGAATCATTCGCGGGCAGCGCGAGGTCCGCTTTGGACCCGGACGCGTTGGCAATGCGCAAGGCAAGCATGCGAGTAGCGAGTTGTTAGAGATTGGTCCACCAGCCGTCCGCGCATGGAGGGTTTACGACCGAGGCGAGCCGGCGACGCTGCGGAGTTGATGTAGTGAGCGCATACCCATACAATTCTATATAAAGAATACTAACCGCACGAGGCGAGGCGGTGCGGAGTGGGTGCCGAGTGGCTCTAATGAGCTGTGACCTTAAGATGTGGAATATTTACTTCAAATTTAAATAGGATCACTACTGAGGTACCCACTTTCCAACAAAAAAGAATCATTAAAATCGGTTCACAAAAAACCGGAGTTATCGCGTAACATATATACAAAAACATACAGTCGAATTGAGTACGGCCTTCCATTTTTGAAGTCGGTTAAAAGGTAACTGTCTATTTGATTTTGATTTTTCAAATCATGATTAACGTAAAGCGGCCATCATTAAAAAAATATTAAATTTTTTGGCAAATTTTATTAATTTACATGTCTAAAAAGTGGACCATTTGGACAAGTGGATCGGTCAGAAAAGTAGACCGATCTGGGAAGTAGACGAAATAGGAAATAGACGAATCGGGCTAAACAAGTGTACCAATCGGGAAAGTAGACGAATTAGGAAAGTGGACCATTTGGTCAAGTGCACCGATCGGGAAAGTGTACCGGGTTCGATTCCCTAGTTTTATTTTCCCTATGAGGGTAGAAAATCAAACAAAGAATTACGGTAATTTAAAATAATTACAATAAAAAAAATTTAGTTCACGATTTCAAAATTAAGTTTAAAAAAAAACGATACATATGTTTATCACGGGTTGTGGTAACGTGCCTTAAGACTAGGTTTTCCGCTTCCGAGTATGGTACTCCCCTGCATATTTGCCGGCGCAGAAGAAGGGCCACAGGACGAGCAGCAATTGGTAGTTCAGCGGAAATGCTCCGTCCTAGTCTGGGCGTAGTCAAGCTCCAAGTGTATGAGCCCGAAGGAAGCTCAGCAAAGGTAGCAATTGCCAACCCGAAGGTATCGAGTTCTTAGGTTTTCGCGATTGTTACACTTAGGAAATGAAACTATTTTTCCAGTCAGTGTTTATCCAGCAGTATTTTTCAGTCAACCGTGACCTGGGACCTGTAACGGGCCCGAAACGTCGATTTTTTTGAAAAAACAAATATACGCGATTTAAATCCGGAAAAATAGTTTCATTTTCCAACCCGAAGGTAACTTAATCTGAACGTGACTTAATCCGAAGGTGACTCCTGAAAATTCAAAATCAAAATTCGAATTCAAAATTTTCGCAAGGCGTATGGTACTATGGTTCAAATTTACGTTGTACATACCTATATAATCGTAGAAAGAGCTGCAATAACGACATATTACAATTTGGTAAAATACAAAACATGAAATTAGCAAATAAAAGCGTTACAAGTGTTTTGTGTGTCATTCAACTTACCCTAAAGCGGGAACTTTCACAACTATTTAAGTACGTTTAATGTGATTAGGAAGCAATAATCTTTGACTTACAATACAATATTTCACACTTAAAATACGTAACGGATCTTTTATATCGTGAGCGCGGCCAAGCCGAGCGTGGACAGACCCTGAAGTCGTTCTAACGCTGTATGTCAGAGCCGGCGGGCGTCGGCGCCGGTTACCGCGCCTCACCCACTCTGTGGGTCGTATTCCAGAACTCTACTCAATGGTCAAGTCAGGACTTGACTCTGATTTAAAGCACTAGAAATCATACTCAAGTCCTTGCCATTAGGGTTGTATTTCCAGTGCTTGAGATCATACTCAAGTCCTGACTTGAGCATTGACTAGAGTTCTGGAATACGACCATTAGTCTCCGTCATCATTCGAAAATACAACGTAAGCTGCCATAGATTTAACCAATTTTGTCTATGGTAAATCATGGTTTTAATGTTTTATAATCAATTATTATTTAAAAATAGGATATATTTGTTGAAGATAATATTTGTGTTCAATTTTTAATACTGTTCAATTTAAAAAAGATTTATACTAACAACGTTGTAACGTTCCGTTATAAAAGTAGACGAATAGTGAAAATGGACCGATCGGGAAAGTAGACCGATTGTACCGAAGGGGAACTGAGAACCTACTCCATTTCTGAAGTTGGTTAAAAAATAATTAGAAAATACAAATGTGTATTCAAAAAATTTCACAAAAATATTCATTTCATTCATTCATAACCATTCAGGTCGTTTTTATTATAAGAACATTCTTTATAACTACATTTAAGAATTTTTTTTGAATTATGTCCGATTGCCTATTGAACTGTTTTATGACATTCTACACTTGTATAAAATTAGATCTTTCCGATGCGTAGCTTTTATTATATTTTAATTTTATTTTACTTTCATTGCGTAAATGTGGGGTGTATTATATTTAAAAATTGTCCTACTAATGCAGGCTATCCTATTGTTATTATACTACTACTTACTTGTACGTATTCTAATCATGTAAAATATTTAAGAGGTACAGCACATCAAGCCATACACTGTTGTTCGAATATCTAGTTCGAGTAGCTAGATGTGCTGCCGTATGTACATACATCTCTAGAACTATAATTAATTAGAGTGGAATTAAATAAATGCCTCTGTCTATTTCGGACCATATTTTATTTTATTACTTTTTAATAACTTGAGTTGTGTTACATAGTTCACAGGTGTACAATAAATTATTTCTGCGCTTCTTCGTAATAACGAAAATGAATGATTTTATGAATCAAGCTCGCCAAGAAAAAATAAGAAAACAATATCTTTTCTATACCAATATTACACATCAACCAAGTTAGAGCGATGCCACACGCTGCATTGTACCTACTACATAAAACTTATAAGAGTTCGCACGCGCGCCGCGGTGAAGGTACGCAAAGGACAAGGGGCAAGGAGATGAAGCGGGGAGGGATGCTGCGAACACAAGTTCATGCGCTATCGTTAAAGCCGCGCCTCTAGTAATTGTTATTTGGCGTTTTATTGTAATGCAATACCATTAAGAGTCACATTAATTAGCAACATCCTGTGTTGTTCGTCTGTTTTTAAAGTGTTTGTTATAACCCCATCGATACTATCGATGATTCCGCCAGCGTCACGATAAAAAAGGAATAATGTTGTCAAATTGTAAAACATATTACGACCTACATAGGTCGGCAATTTTTTCCTAGGTTTGGAGACTTAACATGTCTTCGAGACAATAGATGTTCAAATGTACAGCCAACAGCATATCAAGCTATATACTTTTGTGCGAATATCGTCTCCAAAGCAACAGAACAAGATCCGTCAATTTGAGATGTCAGTTGTATAACAAAAATATTCCAAAGCTAGCTAATATTAATTACTTGCTTACAAATCGTCGGCTAAATACGTAAACCTCGTTCATATGTGAATTTATGAATAGGCACAAAAACAGAGTTACTAGAAATAATCATATAATAATTTATGATTATACTTTTTTATTATAACGAAATAAGGATCTAGAATTTAAATTTTAAGCTGTAATTGTCCGATATTGCGCAAGACTAAAAAAGGAAGGTCGTTGACAAGCGGAGTTAGGTTTTCAAACTTATCCGACGAAATGCTTGCACAGGGTAAGGAGAACTTTAGATGTAAATTCAACTAAATATACGCCGCTTCTTACGATAGGAACGTTTCAAACTGTCAAAGCTTGATGTGCTCTGTAGTCTACTGTGGGACTGTACATCATGATTATGTAGAAAAAATACCCTATTTCAATCATAAGAATTATATTTCTATTTCAGAAGATCTAAACTTTCACGATTTTCCCATATTTTGAAAATCCCTTCGAGACCATGGACGTTGCAACATGTCCGAAACATTCAGGTAAAAAACACGACTAAGTCCCGATTTTAAAATCAAATAATATTTCAGAATACTCAACATTCCTGTTACAGCCGCCATGTTTTAAGGTTATTTTGTACTGTATTTAAATGAAGATGCCAACTACGTTAGTTAAGAATAAGATCTTGTTCTTATATCTATATTAGTCAGGTACTTAGGGGTACATCTTCAGGACATTAAAGTCGCCTTTAACAGAGAGTGTTAAAGGAAATTGACACACCGGCAGTCCATTTACACCAATACAACACGTACACTACATTTTAACAATCATATAATCACTACGTCGTGTTAGCTACTTGTACCGCTTTCATACAGTCGCTTAGTTGGCACTCAGACTGCCCTTGTTCCTCTTCGTGCGTCAATTTGCTTAGGATTTCGTAGTGAGCCGCCTCTTCTTTCGGTGGGCTTGTTTCGTCTAATGTGTACCTGGGAAATGAAATGTGGAGTATTATTATTTATTTTTGAAATGTTGTTATAGTTTTGGCTCCCTTAACCTACGCATGATTTAGGGCATCGAAGTGGGGTGGACCCACTAATGACAAATAATATCCCTACAAAATTTGCACACTACAAATCGCTCCATAATAAGGAATGTACGTAAGCAGAGTGAGAAACGAGCTGCTTAATTAGACGGAGAATGGTGGCTGTTTAGGAGGTATACCATATTTCGCAAAAATTATTGATAAATTGATAATACTTTACCTATGGGCTGACTTTGGACTAAATTGTTGCAGTGGAATGTGATAAAAACGGAAGTGAACGGCAAAAGTGCCATTTTACATAATATACCGTTGTATAACAACAATAATAATAAAATAAATGTATAATACAACAATAATACTAATCTCAACACGAGTCCTAACCTCGCCACTAGGAATAGCGCCTCTTCCATATAAAAATTCAATATTAATCTTTTGGGCCATGGGAGAAGCGAGAGAGTCTAAAATAAATATCCATAATATAAAATGGAATAATATAATAAATTTTATAAATAAACTTTTGTATACATTTATCATTTACACTATTTCTTTGAAATACGATTGATCAAGACGGTTACTACCATGAATTTTTGTTATAAGTACGCAGCTTTATAACCTGTAGCATAAAGTTTTTATTTCACTGTAGTCTTCAAGCTCGTAAATAGCAAATATAGAATATCAACTGGAATCTTATTACGGAAGCGTACACATCGTTTGGTATCTTAAGAAAGTGAATAATAAGATATGACCTGCACACTGCCCTCCCTGTCCTAACTAACGCATTTGCATTTTGGTAACTTTCGAGATATTGGCATCTTAACGTATTTTTTTTTCATTTGAAAAATGTCACTTACGTTGATATATATTGCATAACAATAAAACAAATTGAATAAGATACAAAAAACCGCTTATAGGGGGTCGTAGTCTCGTTTCGCTGATTCCAGATTCGCACCCCATATGGAAGAATGGCATAAGTGGCGTTACGTCGAAAATGTTTATTGCTCCTGTTAATAATTCAATTTCTCAATGTTAGTTATGTAAGGAGGGCAGCACCGGTGTTCGTCTACTTTATTTTACTGTTCACGTTGCGATTTAGTACAAATATTATACTGGGCACAGACAAATATTAAATTCGGAACTTTGTAAGCTTCATTCAAATCACGAATCAAAAGTCGCGACATGTATGCGACTCTATTGCAATAAATAAAATAAATAATAAAAATAATTTCTAACGTAACTACTTTCTACTTTACTTGAACAATAAGGGTCGTATTCTAGAACTCTACTCAATGCTCAAGTCAGGATTTGAGTATGGTTTAAAGCACTCGAAATCATACTCAAGTCCCTGCCATTAGGGTCGTATTTCCAGTGCTTGAAATCAGACTCAGATCCTGACTTGAGCATTGAGTAGAGTTCTGGAATACGACCCTGAGACTCAATTTACTGTATCATATGTTTTGTGAATAGAAACTGTTATCTTTGAGAAAACTTATTATTATAATAATATGAAATGTAATAAGATAATGTTTACAATTTTAATATCGTACTTTACAATAAATGAGGAAAATTCATATAGTTATTTCAATAAAGTGTTATAAAAGAATTGAGTATAGGGACGTGTGATATTGTAATTATATGTCGGATTAAGAGTTATGAGAGAGTTTGAGGAAAACACCCTCATCGCTGAATTTGTCAGGTATTACTTGATAATTGGCAATTTTTTTGTGAATTTGCCAATTATCAGACACAAGACTTGTCAACGTATGTCTCAAGGTGATGGGCGCAGTGGCAGTGCCCCTCAGATCTTTGTAATTTAAAGCACTGAATGGTACTGCAACTGTTATGGACAGGAGTGTCACTTACTAACAGTCGCACGACTTGTCCGTTCCGTCACTTAGTTATTATAAAAAAAATCAATTCGTCAAGCCGGCGGCGGCGAACTTAGGTTCACACTTGCATTAGAACTCCTTTTGAAAGTGTTCATCCAGGGAAGTATTGCCACCATACCTATTTCTGCCGCCAAGCAGTAATTTTTTGCGTTCTGGTTGAAGAGTAAAAAGTGGCGAAATTACAGACACATGGATCTAGTCAACTTTGTCTTAGGATGACGGGCGTTGTGGCATTGCCGCGCAGGTCTTGCAATTTAAAACTTTGAGTGAGAAACTGTTATAGGTAGGCGTGGAGCTTACCGCCAGACGTGCGATTTGTTCATCCGGTCTCTTGATATCATATAAAAACAGTTAAACGTACCCACAAGCTCTGAAAAAAGCAGCCGCGGCGGGGTTATGCGTCAGTGCAGTAAGGCGCACGTAGCGCATCCGTGTGGCGTGCGCAAGCTTCTCCAGCACGCGTAGCACTTGATGCCCTAATCCGCGCCGTCGGCCCTCTGCCTCCACTTGTACTTCGTAACTGTGAAAAAAAACGCTAACTATAGAGGAAGACGAATGATGTAAACCATAGTTTCCCAAAGTGGGGGCGTTGATTCTGTCCAGGGGGTACTACCTTATTTGAAGAATAATCTCAGTACCTACAGAGTACTACAAACACCGACCTCAACAGAATAGTTTGCTACTCTTAGAGTAAGTAAGTTAAAATATTCCACAATATTTTCTTCCGATTTAAATGGGACCACTTCTGAGCATCTGAGATACTCTTTTTTCAACAACAAAAGAATCATCAATTTAGTACGTATATAAATTACACTACATATATATAATTTTTTTGTGTTAAGTTAATTCAAAACACGAATTTTTATATTAACTTAACTTTTTTAGGAACCTATGATATGAACCAATTACGACACATTTCGAATATTTGCTACTAGCTGCCCGATGCACTCACACACGAACAGTGTATTGTTTGTATAAAAAACTCTACAAGTTCTTAGTTCAAAGGGCCAAAAAGAATATATAATAATCAAAAGGATAGATATAAGGACGACTGAGACGAGCATTGAATGACAACTGATTTATACAAAGGTAAATTACACTAAACGTAAACTATGATCCCTGTGTTTTTTCTTTTTCCGAGTCTGTGACACTTCGTTTGACGTTTGTCATAGGGATGAGGTAAAGTCGATAGATTTTTAGTATATTTTATTTTCGACGCAAAATTTCTCTGTTATAGTGTTATTTTTCTGATGCATTTTGAACGATGGTTTGATGTGTGAAGTGTTTTGTATTATATTGAAGGCATAAAACACACAACTATATTTGAAATGCAATTTCAATAGATATATTTTTTAAATGTAAAAAACATTTATCATATCATTAATTTACAGGTTTCAAAAAGTAATAGCACTGATATTGCCTATGATTAAAATTCATACTTTTTTACCGATATACCAACCTCATCTCTAGTAAATGCAGTGTAATGAAGTGACTTTTGCAAGTTGTCGTAAAAATAAGAGAAATTTTGAAAAAAATGTTTTTCTTCTCATTTCTCACAAATAAACTTTGGTTTGGTGTGATTTTACCTTTAATTTGTGTATTTACTTAAACAAAGGCTATTTATTCATTTAAAAACGAGGCTTATAAAATAGGTCATGTAATACGTAAATTAGTGCACGTCGTAACAAGATTATATTGTGTAGATTTTTCTGAACTATCATCACGGATCATTCTAGATTATTTTATACAAGCGCATGCAACAGCTTGCGCAATATAATCTAATGTGATGACCGTATACTGACTTTATTAATCGTACAAGATCCTTCAGTAAAATATTAATTTTCAGATCATTTGAAAAGACGATTCCACGCTTATAATGTTTGTGTAAGGCTCTAATTCTAATTTGACTTGCACGCAATCGTCAGTTCCTACTTAGTTCATGACTGAACTGCGGACTTTGTACGTGAGATGAGTTTTTGTATGCGGACGTTATTGCAATTCAGGTAATATTTTTTGCACCGCCTGCGATACTGCGTATACTCTCAAGTAATTATTTTGATGAATAAAACTTCAAACTGTGAACTTGGTGTGAGTCGTCAAAACATACCTATATTTCTCGACTTTTTACATTTAAAGACAACATTTCCATCGATTAAAAACAATTGTCTTGTAATAAAAATGCACAGGCACAAACGAGTAAGATGTACTTACATATTATGATAGTAATTATATGACACCACTTATAAATTCATTGGTATCAAAACCAATAGATGTTTTAAGTGGACATGACAAGATTAATTATTTAATGTAATCGTAGAGTGATCGAAAAATATTGTTGCCAACTCAATATAACTAAGACAGCCGCAAGATATAATTTTAATTAGCGGGCCACAGTTGTAATTTATACCTTATTCTAACTTAATTCGTATACGTGTGCACTTATTTATAGTAATAATATATCATTCTTATTTACAGTTTACAAAGTCCTTTTTTATAGGAGTAAGTGTATAAAATCAAGTGAAGGGACGAACAAGTCGCGCGCGTTATTATAAGCGACACGCCAGTCCATAGCAGTTGCAGTGCCAATCTGAGGTTGGAGTGGACTTGGTTTTTGCGTATCATACTACCTATTAATCTTAGGGTCGTATTCCAGAACTCTACTCAATGCTCAAGTCAGGATTTGAGCAGACTTGAGTATGATTTCAAGCACTGGAAATACAACCCTAATGGCAAAGACTTGAGTATGATTTCTAGTGCTTTGAATCATACTCAAGTCCTGACTTGAGCATTGAGTACAGTTCTAGAATACGACCCTTAGTGTCTAGTTTTAATATAATTTTAAGTTCGTGATTTGTAGTTTTCTCAATAAAAATAATTAACATTGAAAAATCATTGTCAGCTTACTTTTACAAAAGTAATCAAAGTGTGCAACCTCTAAATATTATCCAATCCGGTCCGAAGGAATTTTTTCTAAGTGTTCGATCTTTCTATTAATAATTGTAACAAACTAGGGGAGTAATTTCACAAAAAATAATTGAATATCAATTCAATAAAAATTTAAAATTATCGCAATCTTCTTGAAATTCAGCATATATATTATCTTATACGTAAGCAAAGTCGCATGAAAATCACATCATTGGAAAAATGAAACACTGATATAATGACTGATACATACCTACCACAAATTATATTATTGAAAAATATGTAGGTATACTTATTCGGTTAGGGTACCAACTAAATGATAAAACAGTTTATAGTATCATTCTTACGATAGCGTGTTATAATTTCCAACAACCATGATTAAGTCACAGTGTGGCTTAACGAGTGGAACTTCGTGTGAAAAAGTTCGTCGAGGGAAGTACTGCCACCTTACCTATTTCTGCCGCCAAACAGTAATGTGAGGAATTCCAGTGCAGCGTTCCGGTTTTTAAGGATAACCGTGCTGGTGAAATTACAGGCACAAGGAAATGTCTAATCTTGTTCTGAGTGGCACTGCAACCGGTATGGACAGATTAACACCAGGCCACGACTTGTTTTTTCCGTCCATCATTTGGTACCCTTAAAAAACACTACACTTCAATTAAAATCAAAAGCATGCAGGGCTTTCTTTCGATGAAATTACCGGCACATAGGACTTTTCTGCTTATGTCTCAAGGTAACGGGCGCAGTGGCAATGCCCCTCAGATCTTTGCGATTTAAAGCTGTATGAGTGGCACTGCAACTGTTATGGACAGGCGTGTAGCTTACCATCAGGCGCGCGACTTGTTCGTCCCCTCGCTTGATATAATAAAATAAAAATTAAAAAAAAAACAAAATGAACTGTATACGATAACAACGGATTTATTGATATCTACCGAACCTACATAGTAGCGTAGCTGTTCAAAGCGTGGTTCCAAACAATTGTCAAACACGAGTATATCGCATGCATCGACAAGGAAAATAATGTGTTTTACTATCTATCAGCGAGCAGGGTGAAATAATTTGTTAAAACTTACTTACCGAAGTTCAAGTTTAAAGTGATTACGTGTCACGGAAAGTAATCTTATAATACAGGATGTTTTTGTGAACCTTTCAAGAGGTTGTATAATATAAGCAAACGTAATCAGATTTATTTATTTTAACGAAGAAGACAATTCGAAATGATTTTCCTCATTTATCCGTACAACATTGCTTCATTGACTGGCTAATTAATTAATACACTTCGATACTGTACATTTACCGGAAATAATTTGATAAACTTACATTATGATTCACCAAAAATTTTTTAATAAAACTATAGCCGCACGGTTCAAACCAACTAATGAAGGATGAAACCTTCAAATTTATATTATTATATACTGTATTCCAATTTCCGAAAAAAAAAGTCGTAGCAGCCATAGTGGTTTGACCTACTGCCTGTTAAGCAGGTCCGGACTTGCATTTCAGTGTTTCTCGGAATTTATGTGCGAATTATTATTTGAAATTTACCATGAGCTTTTCGGTGATGGAAAACATCGTGATGAAACTGCACGTCCAATAAGGTTTACAATTCTCGGAAAACGTGTAAAGTCTCCAACAACATGTGTAGTCTCCAAATCGCATTAGGCCAGATCGGCGGATCAAATTGTAAAGTGTCCGTCGCCTGAGAGCTGAGAGGGAACCCGTGCACAGTTATAGAGGGACGTATAAACAATAATAATATAATAATGCACACATTCAACATAGCCCCGCACTAGGGAAACCCTGTGTCGCGGGTGCGATGGACAGACACATAGACAACCACAAATTACACCCAAACTCACGAGAGTAATAAATGTAGGCCATACAAATATTTCGGGAGGCTTGGGAATCGAACCTGGGACCTCTACGCGGCATGGTAACCGTTCGGCCACAGAGGCAGCATGGGTTGATGATGCACTTGGCGTTGACTTAGAAAAAACACGTCACACGCCCAACTTCATTACAAAGTTTTGTGTTCTTGATGAAAATGCCATAGAAAAATTCGAGTCCATGATAAAAAGTCTTTGTATCTATACCATTCGTTCCCAGACCTATTCAATCTGAAATGATCCAATTTGAAACGATGAAAATGGTTATCGTGACATTAAATAAGCTAGAATTATTTTTGTTCGTGTATAATATAACGGTTCCTCACATGTCTTGATTTTATAAAAAATTACCAATATATTAATAATACGAATTATAAATTACAAAAAAACGAGGTTTTAATGACATTTAAATAAAAATTAAAACTCACCAAGCACATAGTAAACCCGATTTTTTTTCTATTATTATGATACGAAGTGACGAGTGAATTTGCTACCGCATTCACAGCATGAATTAATGAAAAATTACCTATAAAATTACAAAAATATGTTCTAACTATATTTGAATTTGTTATAATTATTAATACAAAGATCGAACACTCAGAAAAATTCCTTTGATCCGGTCGGATTCGAACCGACGTCTTCTTGCATACCGTGCCAGACGCTATACCAACTAAGCCACGGAACGTACCTTCACAAAAAATAATTGAATATAAATTCAATAAAAATTTTTAATTAATACAGTGAATAGCGACATCTCTCGCCAGGACTGGTAGCTGTAAAGGTACTAACTGGGCGATAAATCTGCAATAGATTTCTCATAGATGGCGCTACGACTAAAAAGTCGTTGAAAGACCAAGTACAAAGACATGACGCAAGCACATAGAAGAATTCGTGAGGTCCGTTGGTTCGTTCCGTGGCTTAGTTGGTATAGCGTCTGGCACGGTATGCAAGAAGACGTCGGTTCGAATCCGACCGGATCAAAGGAATTTTTCTGAGTGTTCGATCTTTGTATTAATAATTATAACAAACTAGTGGAGTAATTTCACAAAAAATAATTGAATATCAATTCAATAAAAATTTACTTTATATTTGAATTTTCCATATTTTTCTATACTCTTCTAATCTAGTTGATACTTAGATCAGAAGAGGCCGTATACAGTCTCAAGCGATTACTTCAAGCGTCGATATTATCTAGCGACTGTAGCAATTTAAGTACATAATAAATGCGAGGGGTTAACGACTGCCCTTTCTCGCATTATCTTCAGAAAAGTCATGCTGCGAATTCGTGAAATAATTACGTACATTTACAAATGACTTATTAATAAAAATGGATACAGAATAAAAGCATGTACAACATAGTTAGTTTATAGGATACACGTCTTAGTAACTTCACCTATGCATACGCCATGCCTGCTTGTTTACTACCCGCAAGTATTCAAATATGTATTATTGTTATAAGCTGTTATAATATATATATATTGATTGGTGTACAACATACTCATAGTAATAGCTTTATTTCTTAATAATATTTGCTGTTTTGACAATTAGTAAAGCGAACAAAACAACACTTTTTTCTTAGTTTTGCATAAAATAACACGTTCTAAAACAGGTACACCTGTCGACTATCTCCACCTGTCTGTCTCTGACTGTCACCACATTTATCATAGTGCGGAATCGGCTCGAGCTCGTGTGGAAAAGCTTTATGTTCATGGAATAAGCGCTTCCGCTCGGACCGCCTCACGACGCGGAGCGCACAATTTATTGCTCTTAGTACGAGGACATATAGGTATTTCTCACCACCGCTTAAAGCGATTCCATGTACACAGGTAAGTGTGGTGACTGCTTAAAGAAATTAATAATTTCCCTAAAGTACACCAAATCGCAATGCGGAAAATAATAACTCACTGCGTTAAAAATTAAAATAAACTTACGATTTGTCGTAACAAGCTGCGACTACGATCTCATCACGTGTAAACATTATACAGTACATGTCGCCGCAGTCCTACTCTGAACAGCGCTTCTCAGCAGCTGCACAAGCGCTATGTTGAACGTGTTTTAGGGTACTCACATAACGATTACGTACCGAATAATGAATGACAGTAAGGTTACTTTCATCGTGTGAGGGCAGCAGCGTGTGGATCAGAGCTGTAGCATGTGACGTCAACATTTATCTTTGCGTGGCGCGGGGCGGACGCTGGGGCTGTAGTGTCGGCGGCGGCGCGAGTCACACCGAAACGGGCGGCAGCGAAATGCAGGCGCGGGTGAAATATTGGTGGTTGGTGTTGACGTGCGTCGCGACCCACGCCTACGCGGCGCGCCTGCTTGCCGTGCTGCCGACTAACACCAGGAGCCACTACGTTATGTACGGCAGGCTTGTCGAAGCTTTAGCAAGGAAACACCACCAACTCACCGTCATATCGCATTTTCCCATGGTACGTATCACGAAAATGATCAAATCCGAGTCAAATTAGAAAAATTAAGACAATAAAAAATAATAATAATAGCATTAGTTTGCAATTTAGAAGAATACAAATACTAATTTCGTTTTGAAATATTATTCGTTTGTCTAAAATTCTGAGCTGAGAGAAAAGTGTATGCTCAAGAAATCTTTATGATGATTCTCGCCCGCTCAACATTTCTAATTTCGTTTTGAAATATTATTTGTTTGTCTAAAATTCTGAGCTGAGAGAAAAGTGTATGCTCAAGAAATCTTTATGATGATTCTCGCCCGCTCAACATTTCGTGTTCTCAATGATAGAAACATACAACAATAGTTTGTGCTATAGTCATACAAAATATTTGTGAATGTGCTAAAAAACTGTAGTCAATGTTTCAGAAAGAGCCCCTTTGTGGAGCTCTTTTACAAATCTTGCAATTTGTATTGCAATCTATTTTTTGTTTATTTTTAGAAACCAATTTCCATTAAAAAAAAGATACATGATGAGTTTTAAAGCAGCTTCGCGTTATATTAAGTAGATATATCTTTAAAAGAAAAACTCTTACTTGAATTATTATTTAATAATGTATATGTAATAATCGCTCGCATCCGTAGCTAAATACACAATACGGCATACTGTTATCGTAATAGTATTAATGAACCATTAAGCATATAATAAGTAAAATTAGTTTAAACTTTAAACGACAACGTTTTAAGTTCCGTTTTTATTTATCTGATAATTTGGACAATGGCTAAATCAATGTAAAACGGGAAAAAATTACATTCGAGAGAGAAAAATTGTACATTTGAAAATAATTTTCATTTTTAATTTGTACAAATGCTATTTAAAAATTTACTATCAAGGAGTTTCTTTATATATGGAATAACGCAGCAATATATAATGTAAAAAAGTTATAAATAAATTATGAATAATAGGAATAATTATTAAGAATATTGGGTAAAGAATTTGATGAATTGATGTAAATTATTATAAATTGTGTTTATTTTACGATAGATATTGCGTAACATAATATAATATATATAATTTACATGTAACTTACCAAAACAAGTAACATGAAACGTGTTTGACGACTCTCTCTAATTTTGTTTAAGTGTTGAAGAAATTGGACCATTCTTATTTTTTATTTATGGCACAATAACAGACATCAGACACAGACAATATAGAAAAAAAAAAGGTTTAAAAATTAATACAGTAGGCATATCTGTGCCCAATTATAACTGTGCTCAACATTCAAAAGTAGATATATTTTAAACGGGGTCGACGACAAGTTAATTATTATTATTATTATAGAAAAAATGGCAAGCGGCAAAAAGTTTTATTTATATGTTATAATAATAATAATAAAAAGGCGTAGGGATGTGACGACCTCATCGCCCACTGATGGGACGGCGCAGTGAATATTATGTCTCAGCGTTAAATAGGGTAAATAACGGTCTCCCTGGGGTAAGTGTGTGAAAGCCCCGGGTGTAAAATTGCTCATCGTAAATGATGGAACACAATAGTTACGATGAGCGAACAGAGTCGCTTTCCGGGGGTAATCGCCGGGGCGCGCCTGAAGCTGAGGCTGGGCATGCGGGACCCCAGCCGCGGCAGAGTGGCCCGACCATCCGGCCAGTCTACTCACGATCCATATACTCACGTCTATATGGACGATGGATATGAATAAAAATGCCATGTGGTCTTATTTTAGGGCTTCAGGTTCGGGAACCGGACGGACTAGTTATCGAGCAATAATGTACCGCGAATTTCTTCGGCTGGAGTCAACTTTGACCGTCACAGAACAAAACCTGGCGGACCGAGTTCGGTACCTACAGGCTCACCAGCCGGGTACGGGTGGTGTTGAAAGTGATTGGGGAACTGTCGCCCTGGATTTGGAAACGTTGAGGAGTAGTCTGAAAGATACGATTCTGGAATATCGCCATGTCAGACGCAATCGTCGGAATTTCTCCGCTGCCTGGATAGAATACAGGAAAGCGTTCGACTCGGTGCCCCACTCATGGCTCTGGAGAGTCCTCGAACTGTATAAAAATGATAGTGCAGTTCGACACTTCCTCAGGCAATGCAAGGGGCGTTGGAGAACTATCCTGAGTCTTGACGGTCGGCGGATGATGGATGCGGATGACCGAATAGAAATAAGGCGAGGTATTTTCCAGGGCGATTGTCTGAGTCCACTGTGGTTTTGCCTGGCCCTGAACCTTCTGAGTACTCTATTAGAGAGGTCGGGGGCAGGCTTTCGTTTGGGAGAGGTGGGCCACGAATGCCTCACCTGCTGTATATGGATGATCTCAAGCTATACGGCCCCACAGCTGACAGATTGACGGAGCTACTGACAATCATCGACGATTTTAGTAGTTCGGTTAGGATGGAGCTTGGGATTGATAAGAGTGCGGTGGGCGTTAATGTTGGCACCAATCACCTGCGGGTACTCTCCGAGACTGAAACATACCGGTATCTGGGCATGTCATAGACCATCGGTGTGAAGGAAGCAGACGTAAAACACGGCGCGTACGAGGTTTTTTATAGGCGCCTGAAAAATGTGCTAAACAGCTATTTGCCAGGCGTTAATAAGATCCGAGCTTATAATTCCTGGGTCATGCCTGTTCTGATGTACATTTGGCGTGCTCTGATGGATTCAGACGGAATTAGACGCTCTGGATAGACCTGTCCGCATGACGATGACCTCTCACCGAATGCATCATCCGAGATCATCGGTTATGAGATTGTATATCCCGCGGAAGTGGGGAGGTAGAGGCCTATTAAGTGTCAAAACCAAGCACAACCGCGAGATATGCAATCTCAGAAAATACTTTTTGACGATGACGGATGACGTAATTCGTGGGGAGGTTGTCACATGTGATAAAGGGCTAATTCCCTTATCGTTGGCCAAAGAGGAATGGCGAGACCCGGTGGTGCTTAGCGCCTCTGACCGCGAGTCCTTATGGAAAGAGAAGGAGTTCCGTGGGAGGTTCTTTAAGGTACTCCACGATTCCTTTATCGACCGTAAAGCATCCCTACATTGGCTGCGTTTCGGGAACCTCTTTGGGGAAACCGAAGGTTTTGTCTGTGCAATACAGGATCAGGTTATCAAGACGCGGAACTATCGGAAATATATTCTAAAGGACGGTACAGTAGACATTTGTCGGGTATGTGGCCCTCCCGGAGAGTCACTTAGGCATATTGTTTCCGGTTGTTCCGCTCTTGCTAACACTGAGTACTTGCACAGACACAACCAGGCAGCCAAAATATTACACCAAGAGCTCGCTCTGAAGTACGGCCTCGTGCAACAGAGCAACCTCTCTATAATATGGCAACCCATATTATAGAGTTGCTAATACTTGTAGTATTCACCGGAGTTAATACTCGAAGATGACCGCACCAAAATCTATTGGGATCGACCCATTATCACGGACAGGACTATTCTTGCGAATAAGCCTGATATTGTGATATTGGATCGATCGCAGTCGAGGGTATTTCTTGTGGACGTTACCATCCCGCATGATGAGGGTCTCGTGAAAGCCGAAACCGAGAAACGCCGGAAGTATCTCGCCATATCGAGATACTTCCGGCACGAGATCACCGACATGTGGGATATGGCCTCCACTGAATTAATCTCAATTGTTTTGTCCGCAAACGGGTTAATTCCAGTCAGCCGTTCTAACAGCTTGAGGCGGTTGGATTTTTGTGGCGTGTCGCTTTCAGCACAAATGCTTGCTGTTCGCCGTTCTTGAACCTGAGTCTCTGACCCCGGCCGACTGTGCCAGTGCCGGGAAATACCGCCTGTCCCATATAAAAATTCAAAATTTATCTTTTAGGCCTTAGGAGACTTGCCAAACTCATGAAAGAAATAATTGTAGGCCATACAAATATTTCTCCCGGCCCGGGAATCGAACCTAGGACCTCTGCGTGGCAGTCCGGTATGGTAACCGTTCGGCCACGGAGACAGTTTATGTGTCAAGCTTGACGTGCTGTCGACCCTGTCCTTTAAAAAATCCGTTATTTTCGTAACTTGTTACGAAGTTAAGGAACATTTTTGTCTTTCTGAATTAACTACTCCCGATATTTTGAATGAAGCGTAAGCTGCAAACGTTTGAAAAGAGGGAGTATCTTGCGACCAAAGTTTAAAGACAAATGTATTGTGAATTGCATACTGAGAAAAAAAAAAAGAAAAATGCGCTGTGCTCAAATTGATTGAAAAGTGACCAGCATTATAATGGCGTCAAGGTCACATTTCAAATTCTTTTTTTTAATAAAATGTAAGAACGCATTTGACCTCTATCTCACCTGATGCAAAGTGACGATGAGGTCGAGCATGCATACCTAAATAATGCTTATTCACTCTCGCCTTGAAAAGTCCAAGTTATAACGTTCAGGGAACAAGTCTGCAGGCAGGGAATTCGTGACACTCACATTTTGTCCTACTCTGAAACATATGCCTGCGGCTCGTCAACCAACTTACCAAGCGCCCTAGGAATTAGAGATGGTTAATATAATATATAGCGCAAATTATAACGTTAAGTTAAAAAATAATTATAGCAATCATAATTTGAAAGACATAAAGGTGCTAAAATTACAACGAACTTTTTTCACTTTGGATTGGAGTACGTTAAGAAAATTAAACCAAATGCCATCTAGCGACATAATTTTACAATATTTCAATGCCATACCATCAATCTATCCGTGCTTTACTTACGCAGCTAACAAACAAAATCCTTCTTCGTCCTGAGTTATCTCCCTTAATATTTCATAGACGACACTATATTCTATCTGAAAATCGCTGCTCTTGTCATTGGTTGAAACAATAATAACTTGAAATACTTTCACATATTATTTGTAGCATTTAACGTTTGGTGCGAAACGCGAAATAAGCTGATTGGTTTATTGATGTTAAATTTCACGTTTGAGTACGCTAAGCGCTAATGCTATATTTAGCACTTAGCTAGTATTATAATTGTAGTTATGTTATAAATTATAAT